AACTTATGTATAAGAGAGAAAATCATAGGTAACACTTTATTGATTTTTTTCTATTTGTATTTTCTCTTACACGCTATGAGAAAACCATAATCTCTTGATTATGTTCAAGAGTTTTTGTAAGTGTTTATTTTTCACTCCTGAGTAGTGATGTCCCGGACGGTTCGCTGGCGAATAGTTCCTGGCGAACATTGCTTGTTCGCGTTCGCAACGGATGGCGAACATATGCGCTGTTCGGTCTGCCCCTATTCGTCATCATTGAGTAAACTTTGACCCTGTACCTCACAGTCAGCAGACACATTCCAGCCAATCATCAGCAGACCCTCCCTCCCAGACCCTCCCACATCCTGGACAGCATCCATTTTACATTCATTGTGAAGCTGCATTCTTAGTGAGAGGAGGGACAGTGTAGCTGCTGCTGATTTGATAGGGAAATTGATAGCTAGGGTAGTGTATTCAGTGTCCACTACAGTCCTGAAGGACTCATCTGATCTCTCTGACCTCACTATCCCCCACACCCTCAGCCTCACTAACCCCCACACCACCCCCAGCCTCACTAACCCCCACACCACCCTCAGCCTCACCACCACCAGCCTCACTACCCCCCACACCCTCAGCCTCACTAGCCCCCACACTCTCAGCCTCACTAGCCCCCCACACCCTCAGCCTCACTACCCCCACACCCTCAGCCTCACTGCCACACCACCCTCAGCATCACACCACCCCTCGGCTTCACTACTACACCCCACACAGCCACCCTCAGCCTCCCACTGCCCCCCACATCTCTCCAGGTCACTGCCCCCACCACCCCCCAGCCTCACTACCCCCACACCACCCCCAGCCTCACTACCCCCACACCGCCCTCGGCCTCACTACCCACATCCTCAGCCTCCACTACCCACCACACCATCCAGCATCACAGCCCCACCACCCTCAGCCTCCACTGCCCCACCCTCAGCCTCACTGCCCCCCACCACCCTCAGCATCACCACCCCCACCACCCTCAGCATCACCAGCCCCCACCACCTCAGCCCCTCCCACCACCACCATCAGCATCACCCCCAACCACCCTCAGCATCACCACCCCCAACCACCCTCAGTCTCACTACCACCCACACCACCCTCACTACCACCCACAGCCTCACCCCCCTCCACCCTCAGCCTCACTACCCCACTCCCCCCCACCACCCTCAGCATCACCACCCCCCACCCTTACCCCCCACCCTCACCCCCCACCACCCTCAGCATCACCCCCTCACCACCCCCACCACCCTCAGCATCAACCCCCCTCACCATCACCCCCACTCACATTACCCCCTCCTCCATCTCACATTACCTGCCCTCCTCCTTCTCACATTTCCCCCCTCCTTCTCACATTACCCTCCTCCTCCTTCTCACATTACCCCCCCTCACTCTCACATTACCATCACCCCCCCATACACACAACACACTTCAAGCAGCAACCCCATACACATAGGGTCTCAGACAAAAAAGAAAAAAACATGCTCACAGAGACATACATTCACACACAAGGATACTCTCTGTCAGACACGCTGTCAGGCACATAAACAGGTAAACTGTGCATCAATGTGTATATGTGACACTTTTTTGTTAGTGGGGCCTCATGTTTGAGTGTCGCCTAAGGCCTCAATAAAGTCTAGAGCCGCCTCTGGGTGTCACAATAGCTTGCATTTAATAATAAAAAAAAAACTTTTTGGACTGTGATATAATAGCAGTTAGTTTCCTTCACGAGTGTGCGTTTTAGGGCCTGCCCAGTGCCACCACTCACTCACTGGTGTCCCAATAACTTGCATTTAAAAAAAAAAAAAACTTTTTGGACTGTAATATAATAGCAGTCAGTTTCCTTCACGCGTGTGCGTTTCAGGGCCTGCCAGGGCACAGTGTCACACCAGTGCAACTCATATCTGGTGTGACAGTAGTGTACATTTAAAAAAATATATATTTTTTTGACTGTAATAGATTGAATAGCAGTTAGTTGTCTGCAAGCGTGTGTGTCAGGCCTACAGCGTCTACTCTGCCAACTTCTGCCACTGCACAGTGCCACTCATATCTGTTGTCACAGTAGCTTGCACGCATAGTACCACTAATCAAAAAAAAAAAAAATGACAGGCAGAGGCAGGCCACCCCGCAGGGCCCGTCATGGTCGTGGTGCTGGGATTCCCTTTGGCCCTAGAATAATGCCCAGTGTTCAGAGGCCACATACCCTGAACTCGAAAAGTTCTGAGGACATAGTTGACTGGCTAACACAGGACACCCAATCTTCTACAGCTTCCGCTCGGAACCTTGATGCACCTTGGCTTTTCCCTGGTTATTCTGAATTCTGGTTTCCCTGACTTGGCTTGTGTAAACGGTATTGTGTATTTTCTGGCTTCCTTGACCTCGGCTTTCCCTTTGACCATTCTCTGTCTCTAGCGTATTAGTCCGGCCATTCTAAGGTCCGGTTTACGCTCTGTCCTTTTATTTTCCTTTTCTTGCCTATGTATATGTTTACATAGTTTCTGCGTGCTGGACCACACTAGTAGTCGTGACATTGGGATTAAACTGATAATAATAGTACTACTTAACACACCACTCCTATCTGGTGGCACATTAGATTGCACGCGCAGTGCCCCAAATTTGAAGAAGGAGGACCGACCAAGCATCTTTTTCCATCTCCCGGTTCCTAAAATCGATGCCATATACACGTCCCCTGATAGGGGACGTAACAGGGATTAAACTGATAGGAATAGTACTACTTAACACACCTTATAATAACGCAGAGAGAGGCAATGCAGAGAGAGGAGTCTGAAGAAGAGGAGTCAGAGGAGGAAGGTGGCTTTGAGGAGGTGGAAGACCAAACACAGCAGGCGTCCCAGGGGGCTTGTTGTCACCTTTTGGGGACCCTTGGTGTTGTACGTGGCTGGGTGGAGGAAGAGACCTTCAATGACATCAGTGAGGACAAGGAACGGGACATGGCTAGCTTGGTATCCAACCTTGTGCAAATGGGGAGTTTGCGGTTGTGCAAATGGACTGTTTGCGGTTGTTTGCGGTGCGTTAAACGGGGAGTTTGGTCTGTCACTGTGAAACGGGCGTAACCCTTACACTACCTGATCGATACAACATCATACCTGATGTTTTAAAGCACGTTATTTCAAACAATTTAGGAATGTTAGGTGATTTATGCCCTTTATGGATTAAAACCAGACTCTGCATCAACTATGTAATTTGCCATGGGAGTTTTGCCATGGATCCCCCTCCGGCATGCCACAGTCCAGGTGTTAGTCCCCTTGAAACAACTTTTCCATCACTATTGTGGCCAGAAAGAGTCCCTGTGGGTTTTAAAATCCGCCTGCCTATTGAAGTCTATGGTGGTTCGCCCGGTCCGCCCGTTCGCGAACATTTGCGGAAGTTCGCGTTCGCGAACCGAAAATTTTATGTTTGCGACATCACTAGTAATAAGTATATTCAACCATGACAGGTGCATTCTGTGCTGAGGTATATATATCTTGTAGCAGGCTAACCGGGTCTTGAGTCATAAACCACGGAAACTTATTTCTTCTAATAAGAGGAAAGCTTTATTTATTAAGCCGGCTTTACATTAGCCACAACAAAATATTGAACAAAAATAAAATCCTACTCCACACTGGAGGCTAGCTAAA